AAAGAATTTCGCACAGGAGTGCAGCAGTCTAAGTTACCCACATTTGATGTAACACAAAAACGGGTAGACAAAAAAAATCCAAGGGAACTACTGTGAGCAGTAATGTACGAGGGTAAAGAATAGTAACTTAGGTAAAAACACTGGTTTAGTGGTTATGGGAGAGATAGAAAAAAGTTATGGGGATCTGCGCTGTTTAGAATGAAAATTTTGAGTCATATCAGTCACCGACACTATCAAACCAATTATTCTGAGAGTCTGGACGACACGAACCAGCCAGACAGTCCGTATCACACACTACATGGCCCATAACGACAGTCAGTCAAAGACTTCAAGTGTTGATGCCAGGCTTTGATTCGACTACCACCACCTCTTTTCCAACTCATTGCCGATGTCAGCTAACATTTCTCACTGAGAAAGACGATGACTCGGCATGCATAACACATCTCCTAGTCGTATAAATTGATTTAGCTTCAGAACCTCATCGATTAATTGATTTCCTTCCTTACCCTGTGGCACTCTACGCCTTCATTTTTTTTATCTTTTTGCGCTCGGAGTGGATATCATTTTGGCAACCTCAACTTCGGTTGAAGGACCGATGTCTACATCCCACTCAGGTGGGTGTTGGATGGTGTGCAAATTTAGCGTTGCTGTAGGCCAGTTATATTGCTGCTCAGAGTATTCTCTCCATCTTTCCGGTCGTCTTTCGTGACGGGCAACTAAAGCATTGTTTTTGTCGGAAATTGACTTACTTATCATTTACCGTTTGCAAACTGTTTTTCAATCAGCCAAAACAGTTGTCTGTTTTGCCTGTTGCCTGTCCCATTTCTTTCGCTTCTGTCATCTACCACTGTTCGCGGCCATTGCAAAGACATTTTGTTAGTTTACTTTTTAGCAGCTTTCGCTCCTCATCATGTTCAGAGTCTACCTGGAAACGTCTTGTCTCTATCAAGTCTCAGAGATCATTAAAAAATGACCAGTAAATAACAGTTTTTTTTTTGATTTACAGCTTGATTCCACACCGTATTTTCAGTACAAGTATGGAATTTTCAGCATGGATATCGGTAGCCCAAATTCAGGCCGACCATAGATATCGGGTGTGCTCCGGCAGGGGATCGAACCCTGGACCATGTGCATGGTCGGCGAGAGTCCTAACCACTGTGCCACCGACGCACATCTGGTTACTAGTTGTTTGTAGTCGAGATGACTTTTAGCTGAAGTCAGTGATTCTTTTGATGTAGTTGTGTTCTCTTAACTGGTTTACTTGCGTAGCTTTCACATTGCCTCTTCAGCTCATACTTTAATTTGAAGTGAGTTTTCAATGATTCGCCACGAGTTTATTTGTCACCTGTCCTGGTGACCATGAATGTGATGGGTTGATTTGTGTGTGTTTTCACACCCTTTGGTCTACTTGTGTTGGTACTGTAATTGTTTCCCTGACCTGAATTTTGACTTTTTATGCATGCGATTTTCTTCTTAAGGATGGATAAATTTTATTCATTTCAATGTGCCTATTGATTGCCGATTCACTGGCATACCAGACTTTCGAAAATTCTCTGGCATTTTTGATGTTTCTTCTGTCATATATTTGAACAAGTCTTCCCAGTCGAATTGATACCCATGGTTTTCTGTATACAGTGATATTAGTGAGGGAGTGGATATGATGTCTTTTGACGAAGAGGGCGTCTACTTTGGCCAACAATGATGATCACCTCCGACAACACTTAAAAATACAGCACACAAGTTGGATGGAATCCATAAATCTATTTCTGACAAACTAGTTGCAGTTCAATGGCCAAATATATGAAGAAATTAAAGGGATACATATATGGTCGCCCATACCGGATCTGATTGCAAAAGCTTGAAAACATTATCCTACCTAAGATCAAACCCGAAATTCGGATATGTTACGTTTATCATACCTTCGTGATAATTAAAAAGTAAACGACCAAGACAAAACTCACAAATTAATAAACAACATATTCAACGATACCAAATTCACAAGAGAAGAGGAGCCCGAGAACAAAATTCCATTTTTGGATGTCTTCAGGTTCAAGAAACAATCACGGTACCAACACAAGTAGACTAAAGGGTGTTAAAACACACACAAAAACAACTCATCACATTCGAGGTCACCAGAAGAGATGACAAATAAACTCGTGGTGAATCATTGGAAGCTCACTTCAAGTTAGAGTATGTGCTGAAGATGTTGCCTAGTGAGGCAATGTAGAATCTTCGCAAGTAAACCATCCAGCTCTGAGAATACAACTATATGAAAAAAAAAGGTTACTGGTTGCACTTAACAGGTTTTTTGGTTTGATTAGTTGAACTTTGTCATCTGATTATTTATTATGACATGGAAGAATAATAGGTGCCTCAGATTAACTGACACTGCGGTTATGATGTTTAGCTATAATTTTAACTATCCTCATGCTGTGTTGTCCTTACACGATCTTTGAAATATATATTTTTCATTGTTTAACAGAATGCTGTATTTGTAGAGAACAATTTCATATTTCTTCTGAACTAACTGTAACCTATAATTTTCACTAGTTTTTCATTTTTGTTTGTCCATAAATATGAACTGTGGAGGAGGGAGGTAATGACACAAAAGCTATTGTGCTCAATAGTGGTGCCATTGATTTTTTTGCTTTCACAACTGATACTCTGGAGTTGTCATTTTATCTGTCTAGTTTTTTTTGTGCTTATGTTTTTGTTACTCAACAACTACGTGAACATGTACACTTCCCTGCTGTTGGGAATTCGCTGTAACCCTATTGCGTGACCCGTAGTTGTTGTATGCCCTAATCTCGACAATTGGTGGTTTGGGTTGAGGTGGGGTTCGAATTCGTGATTCAGAATGGTTACAACTTAACCACCTAGAGGAGTAGGCTGCGATATCTGGTGTAGACGTGATTTCCGGCTGGCTGATTAGCTGTAAGTGAGACATGGCAGCCACTGATGAAAGTGGAAGACGTGAAAAAGACGACTAATTGTCTTTCATTATAGGTGTGTGCGTTGTATCTGTAACCCTTGTTAGTTGGGGTGGTAGGTGTAGTAATGGGGTGAGTAATATTGAGTTGGTGAGGTATCAGTCGCGTTCTAGGTAAGGAGGAGGAGGAGGAAAAATCAATTGACGATGAGGTAGTGAAGCAGTTACATCGACTGAGTGAAATGGTTAGGACATGTGTTGCACATGCCCGCCTAGCCACCTCGTTACGTGGCTGGCTTAAACTAACTGTTGTAATGGATTTAATTGACTGATGAAGCCAGCCATGTGTTGGTCTGATCACCACCATCTCCCCCTCCTCCTCCTCCTCCTACTTACATAGCACTCGACTGATATCTCACCAACCCCGATAACACTCACCCTATTACACGTACCACCCAACCTAACAAGGGATACAGATAGAACTCACACACCTATGATGAGAGACAACTAGCCGTCCTTTTCACGTCTCACACTCTCATCAATAACCATGTCTCACCGCGATAAATGAGCTATCCAATTCTTTAAACGGCTACCCTACAGCTACTGGAACTTCACAGTTCAAAGGTGTTTGACTGGAGGACTTTGTTCCACTCGCAACTCGGAGGATTGAGGGGAAAATGTTGGATATTCAATTCATGTGTAGTATATATATATATATATATATATATATATATATATATTTAGAACATAGAATTCGGCGAAGAGACTCTTTTCAACGAATTTATGTTCAGGCTGTACAATGATTTATATATGGTTTTTATTTAAAGAAATTATACACTGTGAGGAAATGGAAACAGAGGTGTGAATAAATGAAATAATAGTAGTATGAAATATTTGTGAGTATAATCATAGTTAAATATCAAGTGTCGATTGTGACACAAAAATTAATGTCATATATAGAATTATTCATAGGATGGATGTATAGATTTTGGAAGGGGGTATATATTTGTAGGGTTAGTATTCAAATATAAAACGTTACATAACATGGTGTTAAATTTGATGAGGCCGGAATTTAACATAGCAAAACATTGATTTAGAATTACAAGTGGGGACAAGTTAAATAATACCTGAGAATAACAATAGTAATAGTAATAATAGTCGTAGTGATGACGGAAAGGTACATGGATTGACTAAATAAACAAAAATAATCATATTAATAAAAATAAATAAGTAAACGTCCATCCATCTACGGCCAAGTCAAAAAGAGGTATTGTGCATCCTTCTCTTGTACACAAAGGTGTCTGGTTTGAATTCGTGAATAGCCAGGGCCTCTCGCTGTCATTAAAAAAGTTTATAACGAAGAAAAGGAGACCTGCAAGTTAGCATGAATTTGATAGATGATGATGTTGAAATTATGGCCAGTGTTGGCAGAGTGAAACTGGAGTCGATCAAGTATTCTAAAATAGAGCTTCACACAGACTTCCTTTCCCCCTTGTAAAACCATGCTGCTGGAATATGTTCTTGTATCCGTGTGGAAAGCGGCGTTCTCTGGTTGCGGCCAATAATGTACCCTTGCTCCACAAGGGTGAAGTGATAGATGTACATGGAAGCGTTCAGACGGAGGAGCTTATCTCTTACAGAGATATAGAGAACAACAACTAACGGTTGGTGAACGTCATTTGTAATTTTGCAGCAAAGAACGTCTTACTGACTGACATAGTTAGAAACGATTTTTGAGTATATATCTGAAGCATGGTTCACCACTTGAATTCCAACTTCAAATGAATCTGATTTTCTTTGGAACTACTGATTGTCAGTGGCCCATTTGGACTGTTTATCATCTTTCGTGTTTTTTGTGAGTAAATTGGATATCCATCACCGCGCTTACTATGATACACATCAAGAAAGAGAATGCTTAGTTCAGATTCTTTTTCTATAGTAAATTTTACCTTGATAATAAATTCGTTGAGTCCAGTCTCTTCGCTGAGTATTTTGGAATTTTGTTTTATTTTTGTTTTTTCTTCATTTCCTTACTTTTGTGCATCTGTAAAATCATTTCTTTTACTTTCAGGCCGGTAACAAACCACAAAAATACGAAAGAATTTATGAAAAGAAAGTTAGTACATCGATTGATGTTCTTTGTCGTGGCTATCCTCCAGAATTTCTTGTCTACCTGAATCACTGTCGTACGCTTCGATTTGACGAAACACCAAACTATGGTTTCCTACGAAGTAATTTTCGTAATCTCTTCCGTTCACTATCATTCATATGGGATTATGTTTTCGATTGGACATTATTACGACAGAAAGCGTCTGCAATTCAACAACAACATCAATCCCATCCCCTTGGTGCTGGAAATACTGGTACAGGTCGTGATCACAATGCTGCTACTGGTACAGTTGGTGGTGGTGGTGGTGTACTTGTCCCGACAGTCACTGGAACTTCAGGCGGTGTTGTTCTAGCCAGTACTACTGGTACTGGTCAAACAACAACGAATGCTGCGAATGCCACGATCACATCACCGCATACATCGAATAACAAACAAAGTAAAGAGGTGATTGGCTCATTTCCAGATGATCTTACTTGAGTGAGACAGAGAGAGAGGAGAAGTGGCATTTTTACGTATGTATGTATGCATTGGATCTCAGCTTATATACATATTACTTATACTTTTTAATTCTACTTTAAGTGCATGTACGAAGTTGGAGTTCATTGTTATTTGTTATCGTTGTTTACACTAGTGAGTAGTCTATGCTTTACAGTAAGCAATTTAGGTTCTACATGACTTTCTTTCCCAATTCATCCTCATTGTCAACGTGTTTTGTTTTTTGTTTTACGAATGCTTACATATATATACATACACACACACACAATAACCCGTGTACTACTTACTACCTACTCAATCTACATAATACGAATGAAAAGGACTGGTCAGTTCTTTTTCTTTCTGGTGTATATTTTTTGTTGAAAAAAACCCATCTAATCTCTACGATCCTTAGAAATCGTAACAAAAAATAACACTTAACACAATTATTAAACAGCATTCCTGGTAGGCATGTCGTTAATGTATCTCTGATATATTGGTCTTATGTAATCAATATACTACAGTATTACGCAATGCTGCCTATGACAAGGCCAAGCTACGTATACTTCTTGTCAGCTTCCTTATATATGTGGCACACATATACATATATAAACATTATTGTTCTCCGCCTTTTTTGATCTCTCTAGGCACATGAATGAGTTAAATTGTATAAAGAGGCTATTTTTGTGCTGTGTGATCTCCTACCATCTAAGTCTACTGTAAGTAAGACAGAAAGCAGTAGTGTGTGTGTGTACTGTTTTTGCGCCCCCTCCCCGCACACACACTGTTTCTGTGTATAAAAATGGGATATAATAATATTGTATCTTTTACTAATATTGATAATATTCTCTATTTTCTTTTTTTATGCTACATATAATATAATATATACATATAAGTATACAACATATGCGCGGTCAAATCTTATATGCAAATATTGAACATATTGTATCTTTCATGGTGTCTTTCTCACAATGGCATTTTTTAAACTATTTATTCTCACATCGATATGCTGAGTGGTGTGTCAATGAGAACAATATGCTATGTTGTTCGTTATCATCGTTGAATGAATAGCTTCTGTGTAAACTGTAATCACTAATATTCTTATTCTTATTATTTTTAGTAGTATTATGAAAACTATTCTCATAGTGTTGTGGAACTTGCACTTGCACTTATTTGTTTGTTTGTTTTCTTCTGTCTTTTGTACATTTTCTTGCGTTTTTAGCCCCCCCTCTCTCCCGGCTTTCTCTGTTTTACCTCACCATGCGGGTGGGGCGGGAGAAAAGAGAGGAAGAATAGTTTACCTATCTTTTGTCTGTTTTATTTTTGCTTTTTGCTTTCTCAGTTTTATGTTTTGTTACAAGCAATCTTCATTGGGAGGTAGAAAGAAAGAGAGAATTACTAAATACTGTGTGTGATGCATGTGGGCTTCCACATAAAAAACACGGATGAGTGCAGGGGTGAAGGTGATCATGATAGGTCAATAGACCATAGAGTCTCCGAAAGTAGAATGTATTTTTTTTTATCCTCTGTCGTGTCATTCGCGCACACATACGCACACTTCTGCAGTCAGTCACGTTGAGTTAGTTTGTCACTCGAACTCTTCTTCCCTTTTGGTTTGTTCTACTCTGCCCAGCGCATATTTCTTTGCTTTGTAAGAAGTTGTGTTTTTTTGTTGTATTATAACTTTTTAAGAAGCTAATATTGACTTATTTTCTTGTTTTGTTTTTGTTGTTTAACCGAAGTAAGTGCCTGTTCATCCATCCATCCATCCATCAGTGATCGTTTCATTAATGTTATAAACTATTAGTATTACTTTATGTTTCTTCATCATATGCAAGGAAGTCCGTGTTTTTTTTTGTTTGTTTGTTTTGTTTTGTTTTACTGTTTTATTTGTTATGTGGACAGTGATCGCATTATCTTCCTTCAAAATGTGATGTGGTGTGCTTGTTGCTTTGTTTGTTCTTTCGTTCTTTATGTTATAGTTACACTTCGTCTTCTTCTTCTCCTTCTTCTTCTTCTCATTGTCCTCCGAAAATGGCAACAGTGGTTGTTGTTTTTTTACCTCATTTTTCTGTTTTCTTTTCTCGCCGCCTCTCTACCTATCTCTTTCTTGCTGTTTTCTCTTTGTGATTCCATTACGTTTTGTTATTACTGAATGAAAATAATTGTACTTGTATTTTTGTTGTTGTGTTTATTGTATTGTACGTCTTTCTATTAAGGAGGAGGAGGAGGAGGAGGAAATATTGAAGAAAGAGAAGGAGATAATGAACTAACTCTTGAGTAAAATAATATAACATATAAACTACTGTATAAAGTCAAAAAAAGAAATATGTAATAAATTAAACCATCTCATGATAAAGTGAAAATATACATATAATGTAAAATATATATATATATATATAACAGAGTTTACATTAATTCATCAATTTAATTATTTGCGGATGTGTTGTTAATGTATTGATGCATAGTGTATTTATGTGTGTTTGCAGTTGATTTGTAGCTCTGTAGAAAAAGATTTGGCTGTGGTTACATCGAATCAAAGAAACTCGAAGACGTATAGGCAGGCAGAAAAGCGAACTAACTAGCTGAAAAGGCTGACAGCGAAGATAGGAGACGCCAGGTGATGAACATAGAGAAGGCGGACGTGATGGAGATAACCAACCAACCAACAACAACAACCAGTACCAATCACTCACCATAGACGGGAGAAATTTGATGGAAGCAGTTACGTCCTGCCTTCATTTATCGAGCTATGCAGTATCGTCGGGATGGATGAAGGCGTCATAGTTAGACATATAGGCAGAATTAGAAAAATCAGTTTGGAAATCTGCACTCCGTCCCACCATAAACAACAAGATTTAGATTGTCATGCTAAGTCAGTAGTCAGTTCTTCTATATTGATTAGAATCTCGGAACACGTGTCACGAAGGGTGTTTGCAACAGGGTAGTGGAGACGTTTGTCAACATCTTGTGCCTTCACTGGTTGTTTCTGTGAAATCGCCAACTGACCTGAGAGAATTAGCAACAAGAACCTGTGGCCGCGAATAAGCCATGAACGTATCAGTCAACAAATTTGCAGGAGAAAATTGAGATGGATTGGGCACAGGTCACTGATTAGGATGTTGGGTGACATCGCGCTCAATGCAGGTGGTCATTCGAATGGAACCGAAATGGGGAACGACTGTCTGGGTGGGTCATCGCTTCGAGAGTGACATGGAGGAGACTATGGGCGATCGTGGAGCGAGTCAGTTAAAGAGGAGAGCAGAGAGTAGAAGGAATTTGAGATGTGGTGCTGTTGAAGATGCATGTTCTAAGGGAACAATAATAATAGCAGTTCGTGCATAGTGAATGTTAGCATAAACATCTACTTATTAACAGATCTTCGGCACACTTATTAACAAATAAGTATTGTCAATCATAGCATGTGAATCATTCAGCACTAAGCATCTGCTAAGATAAATATTAAGAACTCATTTTCGAAATGATAAGAGTAAGAGTTATTTATTCAGTGTTTAAGTTGAATTTGACCGTAAAGTTTTAATCATCCACTAGGTGAGTTAAATTTTAATGCGACTGATAAAAAAAAATCGATACAAAAGTAGAAAAATCGAAATGTTCAATAATAAACAAAATGTAGGACTACATTTACTATTACATATACTCACAAATGTAAACTAGTTGATGACTTCATCGAAAGGGAAATTTTATTCATTCCGACCGTCATTTTAATAATGGATTCACTAAAGGTGACCAAGAAGACTCTACTTTCAGGTATTAAACTGAAAATTTAATTACCGGTACACTAGATAAGTATCACACTATGAGCTCAAACTATCGAATAAAAAGCTCTCCAGTACTCCCAGGTTGTTTCGCAAAGGTTCTCTAATCGATGTCATCTAAACGTGATGAAATCCTGTAAACAGTCAAATCCCTGCTGCTGTTCAACACTTGAATATTAATCTGATGCCCACTAACGACTGGTGGTCCCATTCAAGTTGGTAGTTACCTGGGTGAGTTTTGGTGGGGAATCGTGACCAGCGCGATACAACAGGTCGGTTGTGAGGACACATACTCGCCACCGATGACATTGGCTATTGCCAGTCGCGCTATATTGTGCGTGAATTGGCAGCATTTGGAACTTGTAGGATATTGAATTGGCGGGCCCCAGTGGGTGGTGGATGGTCCACAAGATCGCTCGCTTTGTAATGAAAGGTCGTGGTTCGAACCTCTGTGGTGGGTGTGTACTGTGAAGCGGTGCACTAAGCACTAGGATAACAGAAAAAACTGGCTGACAGTACTCCTAGATATTTTTCCGATAGTTCATAAACCGATGACGGCTCATCATTATGAAATTCTGTAACCGATCAAATCCCTGTAAACCAATATTTGAAATATACATTTAGCTTAGAGTGTCATTAATTCCCTCTTAATGGCCTCATTTTCGTGAAAGCTACCTTATTACGGAAGTCAATTCAGACGGCTGTACTCCTTGATAATTGTCTCTCCCTTGTTCCAATACGCATTCAGCATCTGTAACATTTGCAGACAACTGTGTTTTGTGATATCTGACTTAAAATCATAAAGTATGTTCAGTTTCTAATGCGAATTTCACATTTCCGTTACAGTTCTACTGTAAATAAGTGGAGATATGATTTAAAATAAAGTTAACCAGGCTAATTGACTAGTTTCTACATAATAAAGGGCTTCACAAACTTTACAGTAATTCACAGGGCAGAAATCACATTTTGATGCTTGTTAGAAGATTCATTACTTTATGTGAGGCTGAATTACCTGACTTCTGAAGGTGTTCACAAATTGAAGACTTCGTCGTACTATGCTCACACCTTTCATTCACCACACCGGGTAGTGTTCAGCTGCGCGTTTATGGAGAACACGCTTACAATGTTTAGTGTAATCAGCTCCACTCGAGCATGTGAATGGGTATATGGACGTAAGCGGTAGTTTATGCTTGTGATAGGATCCCACACACTTTGTTATTGATA